GGTTGCAGATAAATTAGATAATAATTTCATCTATAGTCTGAGTCTCATTCTTGTAAAAAATTTGTAAATTGGCTCTGATCTGTGTCAACTTATGTAGTTGCCTATAACAAATTATTAATAAAGATAAAGGCAAAACCTCATCTTAATACCAAAAAAAAAAAAAAATTAAAATTTTAAAATTTTAAGATAAATAACAATTGTTTTTTTAATTTTTATATTACATCTGATTTTGTTCTCTGATTGGTTGTAAGTATGTTATATTATTAATGATCATTAATTTTATCTAATTAGAAAAATAATTTATGCATAATCAATAGAAACTTAAAGATCCTATATCCAGTATATTTTACAAACTACAAGCTCAAAAATTCTAATACTTGCTGTAAAGTATCAAGATATTTTATATTCTACTATAAAATTTTTCAATATGAGGTATTTTGCATAAAAGTGTACTGTAATCAGTATTATATAGTAAATATTTTGCAGTATAAAATACATAATAATTTTATACAAAAAAATTATATGATTAATTTGTATAAGAATGATACATATCAGAATTTTGCACAAAGCATATTTCTAATAAATTATCTAATATAGTAGATGTGCTATCTGAACCAAAATGAATTAAAGAATTAAATTTTAAATTTTATAATTCAAAAAATAATTTTAATTGAGTAAAAATATAAAGAGCATTAGTTTTCTTAAGCATTTTAAAATAATGCATATATAAAATATTATTTATTAAATATTTAGCTATAATTGCTAAATGTTTGTCATCTAAAATAGTATTAAATTCATTAATCATCAAACTCCAGTATTTAGAAGTATTTAATTCTTCAAATAAACCTTCTTCAATAATATTACAAATATTATCAAAAAATCTGTTTTCTGAATTGTTATTCATATAAATACTATATAATGCTTTTATTTTATTTTTTTTTATATTGTAGTGTTTTAAGAACACATACTCTATTTGAAGTAATATATTCTTTATGATTATGAATTTGAGTTGTAACTAATTTATATAAATTAGAAAACAAATTGATAGATTAATAATTTTTAGTACAAAAATAAATATTTTTTATAAGCAATATAATATTTAATTTATTAATATTCAATTGTTTTGTAAAATTAATAATAAATTTTGTTTGTTATAATTTAAAAAAATTTTCAGATTTATTGTATTTAGTTGTTTTTATATGATTTTTAATACTTTCTAACTAATATTTTGTTGTGTCTACTGTGAACACTATCTTTCTATTTCTTTCTCTACATATTATACAAAATAATACAACTTTATTTTCAACTATTCTTTTTTTTAAGCATGGATATATCCTAAACCAATTTTAATTTAGGTCTTAATAAATATGAGATCTTTTGGTAAATACTTGTTCTGTATCTGATACTTGTTCTGTATCTGATATTTGTTTTGTATTTGATACTTGTTCTGTATCTAAACTAGAAAATAATTCTTCTTGATCTTTACTTTTTTCTTGTGATTTTTTTTTATTCATTGATTTAGTGAAAGAAAAAAATTGTTTTATGCTTTTTTTGTTTTTTTAGAACTAAATATTGTTGATTAAAAGAATAGTCAACAAATCAAAAAAATGATAAAACAGAAATATACTGTAGCAGAAGTGACTTTTTTAGGTATACAAGTCAGGATTTTAATTGAAACAAGTACTGATAGTTAATTTGATCAAATTGGTTATATAATTAAACAAACATATATGTTTAAGAAAATACAATTTAAATAGTTTTCTATTTCAGAACCAATTAGATAATTATAATTAATAGTGATAGATTGAATATAAGAATAGCTATTATACCAAATACTATTTTTTCAAACAAGAAGAAAAAATTGTATCTGAATTTTTTTATCTTTGACATTTTTGTTAGTATAAGAAACTATTAGCTAATGCTATACAGAACAAATTTAACTAATGATAATGTTATATATGCAATTATAATTGCTATGATGTATACTGCAAATTTCTAATAAAAAATCACAAATGTTTCTAATTAATATATTTGTGTATGCTTTTCAATATATAAATGCAAAATTTATATAACAGATTTAATTTTTTGATTAAAACATAATTGCAATCTAATTATAAATGAAGCTTTATTTTGAATTATATATTGTATATAGTAATTTTATTATATGTATTGTTTTGTTATTACAATCTTTAGTCTATATTACTGTATTAAGTTAAACAACATCATTTACATATATTTGATTTAAATTACATCTATACTAACTTACTTAACAATTTCTATAAGATTAATATAAAAAATAATTAAATTTTGTATTTTTTAGTAATAAAATATTATGCAGTTAAAAAAGCAATTTAAAATATTTAAAATAAGTTATCTGAATAGTTAAATCAATTAAACTACAAGTTATTAGTAAAAGTCAAATATGTTTTTTAATTTTGGTTTTGGATCATTAAAGACAAAATTTTGTTGAATATAAATATAAAAATTTCATATCACAATATCAAAGCTATTTTTAAGATCTTTGCATATTTTTACATAGTAGTTTTTTTGGCATCACTAATAAAAGTTTTGGTGTTTGCAGATCTCAAAATTCAAGATCTTATTGAATATAAATATGAAACTTTAATACTCTAATACTTTTAAGATCTTTATCCTATTATTATATATTGTTATATTTTTATAAGATGATTTCTTTAGCATTATTAATTATAATAAAAGCTTTTATAGCTGTGTGATCTTTGAAACTAAAAAAAAAATTATATTTTATAAAGTACCAATTAGTATTAATTATTGAATAATTATTGATCTGTAATATCTCTTAGATTATAGACTAAAACAAACAAATTTAGCTGTATTTTTATATTTTTTTAGCTTTGATTTACTTTTTTAAAATAATAAAATATTTAAATAAAATTTAGTATAATAATATTTGAAAATAAGGATTACTTTTTTGCAGTATTTATTTTTAAATTATAAG